GTATTTAAAGGTATTTATCTAGATTCCAATGAGTTATTAACATAAATAGAAACCCCTCCACTCGCTTTTTTAAAATCACGTTTGTTTTTATGATAACCTGTAAATGTCTTTAATTTTGCTAATTTTTGGTCAGTAAAATTCGTTTCTTGGAGACATATTATTGAAGGTGAGTGTTTAGTAATTAATAATTTAAACATTTCTAGTTGTGTATAATAACCGTTTATGTTCCACTGAAGAATTGACATTTTTGTTCTATATATTAATTTTTATTCTTGTACTTGATCGCTCTCTAATTCAGAGGAGGAAATTGTATCCAGCAATTTAGAAATTTTGTGCTTAATCTTTGTGCAACGTGTTTTCATTATTTTTTCATTGAACAGAGGGTAGATGTTGTCTAATAATTGTAGTAACCCCTCAATATCTTTTGTAAAAGTTTGAGCAACACTCAATGGGTCAGGTGAGCCATACGCGTTTTCAAAAAAATGTATCGTTTCTTGGTAATTAAGAACTCTTTTGTTTGTGTCGTCTTCAAAAAATACTCTTGTTGGCTGCATCAATTTCTGTATATTAATAGGATCTATTGTTGGGATAGTTCTCTTCTTTTTTGAACGTGTATTCTTAGCAGGCAGTATAAAGCATTCAGGAGTTTCAGGTGGTGTAACTGTTTCGGAGAAAGCTCTTTTGTGCAGTGTAGGTTCTGTGCTAATTGGTGAAGTGATCAATGCTTCATTAGTTTTTAATCCCATTTTATTAACATTTATACCTTCATTTATAGGCGGGTTATCGTTTTTTTTTGGCCTTGGTTTATTTACATCTACATCTTTATTTTTGTATTGTTTAGATTGAGTGTCTTGTACCAAATAATTTGTCTCTGAATGGATTTGTACTGAGTGTTGTGTTACGTCAGGTTATAATGTCTGCTGTAGTTATTGTGTTATTTATTATTGAACTGGAGTTATTGTTTTTTTTTTTTTTTGAGGACAGTTTGAGGCGATGTGGTCAATCTTTTTACTAATTTAACAGGAGTGTTGGTCTACAGACATAAAAATTCTATAGTTTGTATTGTCATGACAAATTAACAAGGATTCAGGAAGTATTAAGTCCACTAAAGGTGAAATATATACCTGTCTACGAAATCGTAGTACATGCTGAAATTCGGGACGAGATGTGCCAATTCTAAGGAATGATAGGGGAGACATAAGTTTAAAGCCTAGTTTATGTAGTTCTGATTCTAGAATACTATGTGGAATTGTTGGACATGCATTGGATAATATTAGTCGTTCACTAGGAGTACTTGATCTTCTTCCTTGTAATATTTGATTATTTACTATGATTTTTCCTTAATGAACATTTATAAATTTGTCAACTAATTCTTCCTTAGATAAATAAATACAAATCCTGTTGTTAGCTATACGAGAAGAGAACAATATATATTTTGTAGAAATAACTGATCCTAGTGATACAAAGTAATCTTTATATACAGCCCATTTCCTAAGCTAATTCGGAATTAATATCATCCATTTAAATAAACTTTGAAATAAGTCATTAGATCTGAATGCGGTCCTGTATCCAAACTATAATAAGGTAATTAAGACGGTGCTAAAACAAAAAAGATAAGAAATTCTTGTTTGTGTTTGAAATATTCGATGGTTCTTCTTATGTTCTCAAATAGATATTTTTGTTTATTACTAATAATTAATGAAATATAAGCTGACTTACAGAGTCTCCGATGTTACTCCTAATCAGCAACTTCACCAACTCACTCTTGTAATTTTTCAGCGGGTATATTTAACTTAAAATTCACTTTACTTAAGAGCCGATATTTTCCTATTATACTGGTTAACTTCCAGGTCAGGAATCCATTTAAAGATATTGTTCGATGTTTTGAACATTCTTTTGCATTGGATTTCTTTGGCAGTGTAACGAATGTAGACAACAGCCACTCTTGAGATATAATACCAGTTTTGTATATTGTGTTAAAAAAGTGCAATATTATACCTATTATCATTCAAGAGCTTTAGCAATTCAGTAGAAACCTCATCAGGTCTATTTGCATTTCCGGTTTTGGAATTTCTAAGTGTCACTTCTACTTCACATTTTAGGATTTCAGGTCCCGTTTCACCATTTACCTGAACAATGTTATTTCTGTTGTCTTCAAACAATTCTCATATGTATTCACTCCTTCTATACATTTTCTCTGTTAAATCTATAATAATCTTTTCATCTTTGTACAAACAAACTTATTTGATGTCTTCTTTGAGTTCCTAACCTAGTGAGTCTGGTGTTTATTTCTTCTTGCACTGTTTGTCGTAGGTGTTTACTTTTAAGCTGACTTAAGTTAAGTGTAACGCTTTAAACATAAAAATGTTTAAAAATACTCTTAATACTGTAAGTTTAATAATTTATAACATTGATCTTTTTAATAATTTTATTTGAAATTCTATCGTGGTTATACCGTAGTTTTTCCAGATGAAGCTAACAAAAAATCAGCGAAATATAG